TAAAAAATAAGGTTTGTTTTGAGGATATGAAACGTGGCAAAATTTTCGGCCTCACCTAGTTGCTCTATGGGCTACTATTAATTATTTATCAATGAAATACTGATTTTAATGGTTTCCAACTCGTTGTAATTATAATTAATTAAATTCATTTTTCTTCTAATAATCTTTTAGAAAATAATAAAAAAATAAACTGCCTGCATTCAAGGAAGCAGAAATAATGTTGTGAAGAAAAGATGGCACCATGGACACCCCAAAAAAAGTTGAGTGCTAGTCAGATACAAATCATGAATATCAAAAACGGCTAACATAAATTAATATCAATATGTTTGTGACTTAAATATTCATAGTGAGTGGTCGATCCCCACAAGAGCAGAGTATCCGTTGAATACTTTTTAACGATAGGCTGCTACCCTCACAAGAAGCCAACTAACCTTTTTAGAAAGGTCCAATGAAAGTCGATATAGTCAAAACCAAAAACAAAATAAAACATCACTGACCTGTGTATTGCTATACACGTTGTATCACTACCAGTATGTCCATATTTTTGAATAATAGAGCTTTATTGAAAAGTGGTAGGTAGGTATTCAAGAAAGCATGAAACAGCTCAGATTGTGAAAGGCATTTGTGAATTAATACTGAATATACTGAATTTAACTTGAAACTTTATTGAAGGTAGGAAGACGAGGGACTTTTGTCCGCGGACTTTTATGTCCGCTCAAATGCACCGAGTAACGTACACTACGGATCAAAAGTACCGCTTACAAAAAGTCCCCTGAAGGGATTATGCCCTCTACAGGCAAAAGTCCCTCGTCTGCCTTGAGATGAGTAATTACGAACTGAGGCGCAATGTTCTACCAATGTTCACAATTTGTACATTGAGAGACATTGTTTTAGCTTATATACAAACCATCCGACCAATTTGTTTTTTTATTTAAATAAATAAATAATACATAAACAGTAAAATAAGTAAAACCTACCTAAGTTAGGAAGTTAGGTGCTTTTAAAATGCTTTGGAATATCGTCGTCATTTAAGTAGCTATTAGTTCAACGACTAGCGACGATCCATAAAAAAGCTGTAACGTCATTCCACAAAGCTAAGCATATAAGTAGTTACATACTTAAAAGTTCACCTGTAAAACTGTTTGAGGGCGTAAGCTCAAACATCTTAACGTGCGATTCAAAAAATGCAGGCGTTGAATTTGAGCTGACTAAACCTGGGATTCTAATGTAATATTATTAGTTAAATCTCGATTCTGAGAGCATACAATAGCTGTAACTAACATGAAAAGAAGCACTCCCAATTTCGAATGTTATTTATATTTACATTTATTACCAGGGTTCAATGAGATCCAAGGTTCAGGGCAGTTTCTTTCTTTCGAAGGTGCTATTGTTATCTGCAAATACAGTAGGTATAGTCAGGTATAGATCTGTTTGAACTGTTCCCTGGGCCGGATTTAGAGGTGTGGGGATCCTGGGGCAACGAAGGAGTGCAGGCCCCTAAATCTGGGCCGGACCACTTACCAATTGCACTCCCCCCTGGTTTTGTTATTTGGGGGCCTCTATTTTGTGGGCTGGGCCTAGGCCACAGCCCCGCCTGCCCTGCCTTAACTCCGGCCCTGACTGTTACAATAATTCCAACAGATTTCCTTTAATAATTAAATACATTGACGTTGTTGATTTGTGAATGTTGTTACTTTTTTTGAATCATGTGAAATTTTTAGAAATCGTTATTCTCCGCAGCAAGAAAATGTGTTCATAACGAGGACTATTCAAGAGTTATATATAATATGCATCTAATTTAAATAGAGATATTTTGTCTCTAACTTTGACTTTGATCCCTGTTGTTCTTACTTTGCGGTGCGTCTGCGGCAATGCCTCCCGGGACCTGGTTCACACATGCTGATAGAAGTCTTTTGATACTAGCCTAAGGCGGAAGCCGCATGATACGGTGAATACGACGCGACGCGACGGCGAAGGTACAAGCCGGTTACGAGCGGTTCCCCCTATTGAAACTCCTTAGAGAGTTAGTCGTAGACTTTATAAAACAATTATTTCTTAAAAGATGTGGTTGCTTGGTTACACATAATATTGTTATCTGTCAACTTATATTTTTCATGTGCTAATTAAATGTACTGAGAACTGTTAAATAATATTTTCCTTTATAATTTCCAATATACTTTAAAGCCCCCCCGTTTTCGTTTCCCCCGAAACTAACTCTGACTATACCCCCTCGATTTCACCCAATATGTGATGATAATGTAGAAAAAATATTGGGGGGAAACGAAAATGGGGGAACAACCAAACTAGTAACCCACCGATATGTTTTATATCAGTTTGTTTGTACAAAATCGTCGTCGCATCGTAGTCACCGTACCAGTGCAGCTTCGAACTAAGGATTACTCTTCTGGTAAAGCTCGCAAGATACCACCTACATTTTTATTTAAGTGCCTAACCACTACTTATACCATACTTATATGGCATCTATTTATCAAAATGAGATTACTTTATAATGAACTTAGAAGATAGGCAAGTTTCTGATTTTGGATTCTTTTTAAATAATTTACCTACTCTCGAAACATTCAAATCCCAATGTTTATATCAAATGCTTGAGCTCTCATTTATAAATTCAGTTGAGTTTGTACATTCTTAGAGGGAAATAGTGGGAATTTGCCAACCCTTATCCAGCATTGCCCAGTAGGACTAGGAACGGTATCTTGAGTACATAAGTTCTAATTCAACTTATGGACTGCGTCAAAAGTTCATCTTGTGTTATTCACACTGGTATCGACATTCAGAACAAAATTCAAATTAAAAATACCTATGTTCTAATTTAAATCTAAGTGTAGGGCGATTCAAACTTTATGGTGGTAGTGAAGTGTAGCGCGAAGTTTCATTTAACATGCCAAAAGTGATGTTACGAACAATCATATCATATCAAACCGTAAAATTAAAGGAGATTGCTCAAATTGACCCAAATGTACAAAAAATATTGACATATACGGTAATTCTTGGCGTAATTTATACTTTATTTTACAGTCATTAGATTTTAACGGACACCTTTGTATAATATATTCATTTTAAAAAAGACTTAATTTTACCGGTTTGGAAAACATACGAATCATTTTTAATGGCTATGGGTGTAGTAACATTCAGCCAAAGACTGACCGAAGTTGTTAATATAACATCAAAACAAATCTATTTTGTAAAGATCGATAAAATATAACTTTTTGAAGTAAGAAGTGTAGTAGAACCAAAAACCACATCTTTATTTTTTGTAATAAAGTAACAGTTATAGGTATTCATATTTATAATATTTATCCACATGTTTCTAGTTTGTATATTCGGAATACGTGTTTGAGTTTCATACAAGTGCAAATCACATATGTTCTAATAAATTATATTCAGTAGCGATTTTAATTGAATATTTTGATTATTTATTTATTTTTTCAAATTAAAACTGAACTTTATTGACTTCGTCCTTTTCCAGACTTTTTATTAATTTATTGTAATTAATTATTTGCATGCAATTAAAAACTAATTTTAAACGATGCCAAAGAAGGATAACTCCTCACGCGCCTACATAAGTACACGCACCCATTTTTTTTTATTACACTCACACATGCTGTTGTCTTTATATCCACAACTATATTATCATTTTCACTACATGCAAATGTGCTACCATCTATAATTATTATAGATGGTAGGGCGACATAATAAAGTCTATTGTCATACATTTTTCGCCAAACACCTCCATTACATATTATAAGGTGTGATACACCAAAAATTCCAAAATATGGTTATAAAAATAATGAAGCTTAACTAACTAAATTAACGAGCGTTTAAAAATTCTCTCTAATCTGTGGCTCATTCACAATCATCACACAGTTTCTGTCACAGAGTACCTTATTAACCGGAAATGCATAGATGATACCTGATTTTAAAAGTTACTCTTGTGCATTAACTTCATAAACAGGCAACTATCTGTTAATCTACCTGCTCTATATACCTGAATTTAATACGTAATTTCGGTACTTGGCTTGATTTCCCTAGTTTGTTTTTTATGATTTTAATACCAATGTACCGATTTGCAAACATTACCTCAAAATCATTCAGTGTATATGGTTTATAGTTCTCATGGGAGTTTATCAATAATATCCGTTTCTACAGTAATTCATATTTAGTTTCGAATCTAGGAAAATTTTTTTCATGATTATTGGTCTTTAGGCCAAACATGATGGAAGCTGAGCAATCTCCTTAATGTAGGCAACTTCTATGCGTACTTTAAGCGGACCTTCCCTAATTTTTTTGGACGTAGATAAGTAAGTACCCATAACATAATACGTACCTAGTACGCATTAGCATAAAGGTCGGCTAAAAGTAAGAAAATCGATAAATTGCAGGAAATTTTTATTAAAACACATACCTACTGTTTTTTAATCACCATTGAATTAGCTCATAATGCGGTGCTTTAGAATGTCGAAAAAATAGTTTTTCATAGTTATCATTAAATATCTCATGCCATTTTACTCTGTCGTCAAAAGAAAATAATATTTTATTTGTATCGTTTTGATCTCTTCGGATATTTGTATTAAAATGATTATCGGTATCTATGCCTACAGCAACTCTAAGATCACTTGATTGTTTGACTTCTAATAGGGCAAGTATCTACTCAAATTACTGCACCTGCAGCAAAGGCACAACACAAATTTATTCTGTATGTATGAATGATATCTAAGTAAAATATTTTTATGGAAAAATCTATACCTCCGGGCACATCTATCGGCTCACTTAGTGTTAAACGGTATGTAGCAAAAATATATGTTTAAGGTTGAGCAATAATTTTAAAAACACACGAAAAGATGGTTTGTAAATCAGCTTCAGAACTGCGTAGGTAATAAATAACTTTTTGCTCAATGTAACATGTATTTTTAGCTAGGGATCCTCAAAACTTAAAATGCTGGGTTGGCCGATTGATGTGTCCTGGAATGTATTTTTCTGATCTGGGTAAATATACTGAAAACATTTATGTGTCAAGTCAATACATTTTAATTGTACCTATACCTATAAGATGACAAAAACCACTTTACTATAATAGGTACCTACTAATGTTTACAACATACTTGTATAATTATGTATAGGTCATGTTAAAACAAACTTAGACAGAAGTAAATTAACTGCAGTTGGACTAAATTTGATCCCGTTGTTACTTTGACAATTACAAATGAGACAGAACGTGCCTTTAATTAATTTGACATTACTTGTACTTGTACGATTTTAATTTTCTACCGCGTTCTGATGCAATTTAGGCCAGGGCGGAAGCCTTTGAAAATGGTAAAAGGTGAAAACAAAATCAGAACAGACTAAAACCCATTGCAAAAGGAAGAAAATATGATAAACAAGGACGAAAAATAATTAAAGGGCTATTCCAAGTCAGGAAGGGTAACTTTTAAGAGTGTAAAACGGTTTAAATCGCGATTTCTGGGAAAACTTCAACTCCTATCGTAAATGAAAGTTGAGTTGTAGATAATAAAGAGATCAACTACTTTTGTATTTGTATTTACATATTTTTTTTCACATATTCTAAAAATATCTGCGAAAATCATTATAACAAACATTTTAGTTTTTATTATTTATCCTGCACAAAAAAAATCACGTAACTTGTATAAAATCTTATGTCCCAAACATGCTCTATTTTTTCCAATTAGAAATAATATTTCTAATCAAAAAACGAACCCAACCTTCAATTGAAAAATTTCACATTAAAAGCGTTGCATTTTTTTAAGTTGGTGCGTTTTTTGTTTGTTGAAAGCACTACTTTCTGATGGTAGGTATATAAATAAATATATATTACTATGGTTGTTTGTTCAGAAAATGCAAAAACGCCACTTTATTGTTGAAGGAATATTAGACTCCCAGTTACAGCAGTCGGTAAAATTTAGTAACCTAATTATTATGTGAATAGAATATTGAAACATTATTAATCTTCTAATCTATTTAAATTTTGGTCGTGGTTGGTACGCCTACATTGATCCCTAAAGTATTAGTTTTATGATTAGAAATTTTAACTAATTTAGTTATTACAGCTATAATTTTATTTTTTTAAAACTTATTGTTTCTTTCATAAAATATACACACAACAGCCTTAGCATAAAATCAAGTGGATAACTAGGGATTTCTCTGTTTGTCTGGAAAACTTGGAAATGGGTTGTTGGTTGCTAAAACCAACAACCCAGACACTTACTGCTGTAAATATATTGCGAAAAATTTTGTTATTTTATTTAAATATCTACTTATTTAAATTTGTTTGGGTAAGTTTTAAGAAAAATATATGAAATAGTCGTGATTTGCCTGTTATATAAGACGATTATTAAGATTGTGTTTGCACAGTGACCTTATGGTTACATGGTGCTTATTGGATTACATCCACCTTAAAATAAGTACATATAAAATTTTCGTTGTCCTTGTCTGTAATGCGTTGAATGTTTTTAACCTAAGTAAAACCGAAGCTACTATAAATAATTTTCACTATGAGACAACGAATATATATCAATATTATTGATAAATACAAGAATATCTAGGTACTAATATATAGTCATTCCAAAATTTTTAATAAGTTAGCTACGCACTAATTATCTAATACTAAGATAGTCACTAAAAGTGGTTAGCTTTAGGTATATAAAATTATCAAGGCATAAGTCCTCCTGAAAAAAATACCAAAATATAATCTATTCTTAGAAATATATCACTTTTATAGACAACTCTATGCATATTTATTAAGCATTATAGACTCTTACAAAATTTTAGGCCTTCAGCCTGCAACAGAATAAATTTTGATCTAGGAACATTTTCTTAGTACTTATAATTAAAAAAAGTTACTTGGGTATTTAGAAATCTAGGCTGTAATTCGTTAAAAATATTAGGTGCTACTCTTTGGTAAAACTGTGTGAGGAATTGGTTTGGTTTAATTGAACTTTATATAAAGTGAATATATTGACCAGATGTACGTACATGTTAATTTTGTAATTAAAAAAAAATGTATTATATCTTTAAACTTTGGTCATACTTTGATGTCAAGATAAAATCGTACCACTTTGATAGCAAAAGTTTGGGGCAATGCATATTTTTGTTTTCTAATTAGGATGGCGTAATTATTGTTCAAATATAGATATACCAGGTACCTACTTATGTACAAAGTCGCAAACTTTCTTAAGTACTAAATGCAGAAGGATAATAATATTGAAGAATATTTATTTGCACATGACTATTTTTCTAAATACATTCTTAAAGGTTTTATGACACCAACACTTTTTGATATACATACTGTTAAACGAGAGAATGGTGTTATGATGATTTACTCTTAGTGTAAGTACAGAAAGGAGCATTAACAGCTTCGAAAATTACAATTATACTAATTTCCTTAAGTTTAATTGAATTCTCTTTTGCCTAAATAAAAACAAACCTTTTTATAGAATTTTACGAGATAATAAAATCTTTAGATTTACAAATTATGCAGTTAAATCCTTAAAATAAATACAATAAACTACAATTTTTTTTGTTTTATGTGCTTTAAGATTTACCCTATTTGAAAATTGTCTACTCGCTGAAGCGTAGACTTTTTAATAAAATATTTAACAAAAATATATACCATTTGCTGAATTATAAGTACTTCAACCATATTAACACTTGGTATACATAATACAAAACAATATAAACTTAAAATTAGAAGCATACAAAAAGGTTTGCCTATGCAAATCCAATTAATATGAAGTTCACGAGCAAATACTGTGCTTTGTCATGTCATAATAGGATAGAGGTTAAAAAAATCGCTGTTGTGGCTACTAATTATGAATCTTTGTCACAAATTTAAATTTCTTTTTCATCATAACTTAATAAAAAAAGAATTAGGCCTTTCTCAATTTACACTGGGTAAAACATTGACGAAATTCAGTTTAATGTTAGAATTAGAATTAAAAATTCAGCAGCTGCTTTTTTACCTACGACGTAAAGGTTTATTTCTTAAAATTCTCTATGGAATGGTAATAAATTAAATTTGCAGTAAAAATTAACATCGAACTACTACTAAAGTAAAGTTATTTAACTACCACAATTAGGTACTAATTTAAAAAAGTAATATTCTTTCGATGACTCCGACCCGATAAAACGATTTTAAACAAAGTTTTTAAAAATCGTTTTATTTTTTAAAAACACATTACATTTTAAAAACATATAGAAAATTGTTAGTTATAAATAAATAGGTATGTAATAAATAATTCGCCACACAAAATATTACTTTAAGATAACATTAAATATACATGAACAATTTATTTTAAATAACATATTAAAGTTCTTCTAGTGTAGAGATAAGCCATCATATTTACATTACAAACATCTTTTAGATATTGGGATCTTTTCATTCTTAGGTACTAAACGTTTTAATACTCGTATATATGTCACATCAAAATTAAAAGTTATTTGACCCATCCTTGGCCTTTCCATGGAAAACTACCAGCACCATCTATAAAGCCATCGGAAATGTAGTTTTCTCTTCTTAGTTCAGTCTCGCGACTTGCCGCGGTGACGGTGTCAGTCGGCTCCCTTGTCCTCCTTGCGGGTCGGGCTCAGTGAGCGCCCGCCCTTATGCCTGAATAAACGTACAACGAACATCATATTATGCACAATAATGGCCTGCGCAGACGTAGGACTTTTATCCGCGGAGGACAAATACCCCTCAATTATAAAGAAAATGTCCGCTGAGGACTCGTCAGTCACAGAATCAACGCAAACGATGTGCGAACATTTGTGCCCTGAAAATTAAAAAAGAAAAGCGCATGTTATGGATGTAACTATTCTCAGATTACGTTGTGTTGTAATTAAAATGAAGTTTAAGAAAAAGAGAAACCGTTTTAAAATAGAATACTGGGGCCATCTTTTTAAATCGGATCGAGCGCACAACGTGGTCGAAAGTTCGCTGTTTGCATTGCTACGCCTAGTCACATGAGTTCTATTTTTTTTGCGGGACACCCGCGTACTTTCAGTCCGGTCTCCCGGTGTTTTGGTTGTACAGGGGACTTTTTTGGACGCGGTACTCTTAATGCGTCGCGTGCGTTACTCGATGTAGTTGTAAGCGATCTATTCTGGCGGACAACAAATACCGCGGACAAAAGTCCCTCGTCTGCACAGGCTGTAAATATCACCGTCGCTCTTAATAAAACACAAAGTGCCTGGCCAGATATAAACGCGATTCACAGGCGGTTCCTTAATTCATTACGCGATCATAAGACAGAGAAACCCAAAACTGCATCTGAAAACGCGCGTAAATTGCTTCATCTGGACTAACTCTAACAGGAAGCAAAATAGTTATTTATGATATTAGTGCGGTAAGTTGGTTATTACAAAAGAGTGTCGGGGGCTTACGATAGTCACGAGTTTATAAATACTAATTCCGCACGAATGTCATACAACGTTTTTCAACACATTTGCGAGAAAACAGTATCTTTACCAAATTAACGTAATGAAGCAAACTTTTTCTCATAATAAAATGGCGCGCATTTCCAAACGACGCCACGTGTGGGTGGTGAAAATGGGAATTACATCTTTAGTCTCTTTTTTTAGCACTAAAGTGAAACAATGGTATAAGTAGATTAAAAGAGATTCCAAAAATGTTCGTCAAAAATAAAAAAAAAACCGTAAAGGATACCCATGGCGCCATGTATGGGAACGTCCGTGGTATGGCCGTAATTTTGAACTTTCGAAAAATTTATACAACCTCCGTAAATGCTTCTTTTGAGCAAATGTGTTGAAAAAGTCATTTTCTACATATAAATTCAGCTCATCGAGTGCAACTCAAAATCCCACTGCTAAGTATCGCTTAGAAAACTTGACATTGGTTAATATTCAGTACTAAAATCATTATGATACTTTGCCATTTATCTTGTAACGATACTTCAAAAATATTATGTAAATATCAAAATCTCAACCTTAAAAAGTTAACAGCGAGATTGTGTGTTACAGAGTTTGGTATAGTAGGTACGTACAGTGCAAATTGTATAATGCCACTATATAAACATTGAAACCATTTTCAATTTGATTATGCAACATGCATGCATGTATGTATAGTCGCTAGCACGAGAATATATATAATATTATATAAACAATCATAGTGTACCATTTCACATAGCGACAATAACACCTTATTGTCTTGAACGGCTACCTGGTTTATTCGCCCAAGCTAACTATTTATATCAATTATTATTTATGAATTAAATCCAAATCGGGTAAAATACCGGTACTACGAAAACAAGCGATTGCAAACCTTCGTTCGGGCTATAGATAGCTAGGTTTATTTTTTGTAAAAATTAATATTATAAAATAAGATGCCCTCCTATTTATTATTGAGCGTCCTATCATTGAGACGACCAGGGCTTCCTCTAAATAATACACAAAAATAAATTGAAACTAAATTAATAAATAAAAACTATTTTTCGTTGTTAAAAATTGACCGAGTGCTTGTCAGACTCAATATCCTCCCCGCCCCTTCGCGCACCTTTATATCTGTTTGAGAGCCGCCATATATTATTTAAAATGATTTTGTGTATTTTTTTACGGCTTTGAGTCAACTATATAAAAATTTGATGACGGTACCTAGCTTCAATCGTTTGTCTGTAAAAACTGTGATAGACGGGATCGAACATTTATATTTCTGTCTTTTTTTCTTTCCTTTATTTTACCGACGGACGGAACCCTAAAGACAACAGAAAAGTTATTATCAATATAAAACGCGTATTTAACCAACTACCTATTCTTTTCGCTGTTAAACTGTAACATGGCCGTGCTGGTATAGTCCATGTGACTCAATGCACAAAATTAAAAAACAAGGAATTAAATGCTATTATTTGATCATCCTTGAATTTCAAACTTTTGCTTGAGTTTTGCCAAAGTATTTAGGTATATAAGAAATCAACATTTAGGTATATAAGAATTTAAATACCTTAAATATATATTAATTCCTTGAATTTTGCTCCTTCCTCGAAACTTTTATTTGACATTTGGGTACAGATTAGCTTTGTCTCGCGTTACGTTATTCAATCTTGGTCTGTCGCCGTTAATCCTTGGCCTGTTTTGGACCCATTCTATCTATATGCCAGATTGGCTAACTGCACATTTTATGGTACAGAGTCATTCAATCACGTTTCCCTGCTTTGCAGTTCCACTTTATTATTTATAGTAATCTTGATGCTCCAAGTAACAAAAGTGTAATAAGTAGTTACTATCGAATAAGTTGATTCCTGACCCATTTGCCCTATAATTCGCTTAAAAAAATCAAAACACACATTTTCCTTTAAAGTCAATGTGTGAAAGCACTTTAACACACCATCTAATAACAAGAAAACTGTGTTAGTATAGAACTGTATCTTTGAAATTTGTCCTTGATTTTCAATGCAATAAATCATCTTATAAATAAAATTGGAACTTCAAATTCAAACTACTTTGAATTTCAAATCCACTTTTAAAATCGTAAATGTAAATAAAGCCCATCGCTCATTACGATACGACACTAGTCTCGGAGTCGCCGCTGGTCCGACGGCGCCGCGGAGTATCTCATATACATTTATGAGGAGACCCGCAGACTACTATCTCGGCATTCGATGCTTTCGCGACTAGTCTCGCGATGCCCGATATATTAGTCGTCCGCACGTCGCGTCTCCTACTTGTCCGTCAAAATGATTGATGGCGGTGCACGAAATCTGTGCAACAAATGACGAAATTGGCAAAAAATTTAGTAGCGTAATGAGCGGAGCTCGAGTCGCGAACTAGTGTTTAACTAGTATTCGATTTAAGTACCGTATCTTGGGGGTATAGTGATGTGAGACGGGCTTAACAGAAACTCTTAAGATATCTTGAAATTATGAAAAACGTTTGTTAACTAATAGAGAAATCATTAGTCTGTGGGCAATACTTCAAATATTGTTATGTCAACACTACGAGTATGTCACAGGGAGGCGGCAAAATCTGTCAAAATCTATCTAACACAATATTGTTTTAAAATTTAAATAACATTAATAATATTTATTTAACAATAGTAAAATGATACATGAACATTAATTTTACAATAAGCACCTTACCAATAACATTTTCAAAACAGTGTGAGTCTCAAACTCCCAAACTAGGACATGTCCTGTATCTCAGGAGTCAGTGGCTCATCCCAGATAAGTAAACTCTATCTCAATAAAATGGAAATGGTTCTAATAAAATAAGCTAATGATGGGTCGGGAATCAAATTGGCTGATAGTATCTACATACATATTACTACAAAAACATCACGAGGTTCTATTGTGTGCTAATCATTAGCCGTAGGTTTACTAAACATACAACTGTGCTGGACCTATAATTATTTCACTTTTTACCTTATTAGCAACAACAAAATATGCGTCGTAGTCGTTATAATATTGTGAAAGTAGGGGTACCTACCTAATTACGTTGACAATACTGCAGTTTTATTGTTAGTATGTACATGTAATGGATCTTCAAAATCAGAAGGAGGAATGATCTTTTTCTGGTTTATTAGTAAGTGAACGTTATTTTTTAATGTTCACGACACGGTGTGACTGAAAGCATATTTACTTTTAAACAACTGAAATATTTATAATAGCAGTTTCGTTCAGTGCCATTTACAAAGCTCATCTTAGATTACAAGGATACTAAGGTATTACAGCGCCAGAGGTCATACCTTCTTTACGGAAGTAATATTAATATGGCCTTTATTATTGATAGCTGTGCGGATTTCATGGAATAACAACATCATGAGTATAGACAACGTGAAATGCTAATATATGAGCGGCTAATAACCCTGACTAGAGCACTACATGGCAGGCATCTACATAAGTATTTATATAAACAATCCTTGCCTTGTAAACGTCATCACCCTCCAGCCCCTTATTTGTCATCCTTCGATTTTGGAGTGCCAACCGCCAGAGCTGAAGAATGAACTGACAATACCACATTAAGCCAATCTGCACAGCAGTTCATCAAAGTTAATTTTGTTGGGACCAAAAAAAGTTTATGGAAGAGCAAGTAAGTGTTTTTCATTCTTCTACTTACAATAATAAGCGAACTAGAGTAAACATGCAGTGGGAACTACAAAATTTACCTGCTGCTCACAAATTTGGATTTCTTTTCTCCCTTATCTGTACTGGCGCTCGGCATTAGCAACGGATTTCCGGCATTCTTTTCGCTTTGCTAAGTAAAAATATGAAAAAGTACTTACACAAAATTTTAAGAAAAAAAAAAACATCCCAGCAACAGAAGCAACCTATTCAAAATGTTCGCAGTTTTCAACAATTTCAAACGGTTATCCGGGAGCTCTAAAATTCTTAAATTTTCATATCATCATTGTGATTTTAACGTATGCTCATACAAATCTGTCAAGGCCGTTCGATAGTTTATCATCTTATCATATTAAAATATGAGAAAAAGAAGCACTCTATGAGCTATATTTTAAATGAAATCTTGCTATTTTAGATCCCCAAAATTTACTTTTGAATAATTATAATGTTTGTATTGTAGTGACATACCTTTTGACTGGTCGAAGGCCCTGCGTCTCCTTGCAGCTGCGATTGACTGTTCACATGACCCATTTTGGAGAGCGGAGGATTCTTGAATGAATATGAGAATGCCAGTCCACGCTTAAGTGATGCTCTGAAAACCACCACCAGGATGCAGTGTTGATGAAAACCGTAAACGGAAACAATTCAGTTTTTTACATAGTACTTACTCCCACATAGTGCAAAATGTTAAAAAACTAAGAATATGTTGTACACTTGGACTAATAATGCAGTGTTTTGTCTCATTGCATAAATGTCATTTGGTTGATGTGAACAAAATACTTTTGAAACTAGTCGAAGGGAGTAAAAGTATAGCTTGAGAGTAAGTATGTATTTTAATGTACAAACATCACTCCCATCCCATAGCAACACCTCAACGATGCCACTTTTGTCATTGGTTCGGTCTAAGACGTTTTTTTGAAATAATAGTGAGGTTGCCATTTTTTTGCTATCCTCTGTATATTAACTACATCATAGTCATTATTCTGATTTTACATCAGTTTCCTAATACTTCGCCCTCGCGTCGCTAGATTTTTATCTCGAAAACAATACCAATTTTGAAAAAGGGAATCTATGACATTTTGCATTTGTCTAGGTCAAATGGTTTTATTTTATTTTATATGTTAAAAGGGGATAGTAAAGCTATCCCTCGCACCGTTGCATACTCTAACCCAATTCCCTACCCCGCGGAGCCCTAGAACCTTACTCACCGAAAGAAACATAGCACCATCAAAAGATAGTGTTATTTTACTGTGATCCTCTGTAAGATGGAGGTTCCTTCCCCACACGGGTGATCCAATTCGAGCCGAAAATTCGCTATGCCCTACCTATTTTAATATTAAGTAGACTAAATCTCTAAGAACAGCGATACATGGGCAGCTAAAAGCATTCCATCCCTCGACTGCATAGTGAACGACAGTCCCTTACGTAAACACACGGATCGCTCGAGCAGTTGCGACGGTTGGCGCGCGGAGAAATGGCAGCTCCAAGCTGTTGACCATAACTGCTCGAGCAGTCCGTGTATGCTTTAAGGGTTTATTTTACTTATAACGGGTTAATATACTTACCTAGTTGGACTAGGTGGTGGATAACTTGTGCCTCGGTGGTCGGGCGTAAGATACTGGTGATGCTGAACGGCGGACAATCTGTTTCGCTGTAGTAGCTCTTGATGTGACTGGTACAATTTTTCTGACGCTGACTGCGGGCTGGGACTACAAAAACATTAAATTCTCAGAATTAAAACAGTTTAGGGAAAGTCATAATTGATTAACTGACTTAGATTGTTTAACTTCTAAAGTATTTATGAGACCACCTACAGAAGAAAACTGATTGACAAAATAAGAAAGATCAAAATCGGTTCATGAATATCAGAGGTATTCGTTATTCAACAATAAAAAAATATTTTGTCATATTAACCGCCTCAGCATCGGACCTCAGCACTCTAAATACCTTACCCTTCACAGAATACTTATGTGATATCCTTATTAAATTGGAGTGTAACTACGTCTATGAACAGTACCCTTAGCATGAACCAATATCGGTTTTTGCGAGTACGAAATGTCATTGTCAAATGGGTACTGATTTTTAGTTCTCGTTACGTCCGTTATGTCGCTGCTGTTCAAGTTTCCATACAAAATTTGACGCAAACTATTCGAATTCGATAATAGTTCGTGCTAAGGGTACTGGATGCGATAGAGCGACCACATATGCGCGTGTTATATAATAAACATCGAGATGGTCTTTGAAATCTGTTGTATAATATTGAGAGGTTTTTGTAATGTAGTTTGTATTAAAAATACTATGAGAATCTATTGTCAACACTAAATTACATAATTTAACAGAATATTTCATAACCTAAATTGCGGGTAGTCAGCGAAATCGTTGTACACGTGTTCTGAACGGCCCGATGTCGTGAGTTGTTGTCGCCGCCTTTAAAAGGCCGAGCTCCAGCCTTTGCGGGCGGATGATCACTCCGCATCATCCCCTTCTCAGGGGATAATCGCTTCAGATGAAGCTTGTAAGGCCCTTCTGATCATAAGCATGATTAACGGGTGTTTTTTAGTCAGTAAGAGTCTGACATGACCCTACAGCCGGCTGTAGGGTATCCATGAGGATTTCTAACCCGCTCCCCCGCCTGGGAGGAAACGAAAAAAAACTTTGCGGGGCGATTCTGTATCGAACTTAGAGCTCCGCGGAGCTCTAAGTTAAGTAATAATTTTCCTATTCTTGTTTATTACTTTTATTGGAATGATATTATTGTTTAATACTGTAAGTTATAATATAATACTATGCTTTTCTCATATACAATAGAAATTACTTTTTAAGGTAATCTTATAAATTAAAATAGGAGATTTAATTATTTGTGACTAAATATTTTATACTTTGTCTTGATGTTTTAATTAAATAATCAATAAATAGAGTACTTTAAAACATTTATAATATTGAAGGTAGTTATTTTACAGTTTTATTTCAATTCCATTTGCTTTTTATTGCTTTATAGAAGTTACAAAGTGTTTATAAAATTAATAAGTAATGAAATTAATGCTAATTCTAACACGCACACTCAGTACTTTAGATAAACCTCTATTTTCACCTATAAATATATTAGTGCTGTATAGTGTTTCTCTAGTCTGTGAGTGCTGCCGAGCTATTCTCGAGTATAACTTGACATTGTTATCGACCTCGATCGAGATTGCACTATAATATTTTGTCACTCATCGCCAATCATTCGGTTTTTCTCTAGAACTCAGTGTGGAGCGTAGCATACTTTTGTTTTGAACTGGTTAAAATGAACTTGTATATTGATAAAGCAATGTTAAAATCGAGTGTATTTGATTATATGCAGGTACTGCTTGTTTGACATTGAGGCGGTTATTGGACTACAACAATAGTTTACCTATGGATTGGCCGTGGCGGAGAGGGGTCTATCGTTAAATCAGGTAGGCTGTGCACGAGCGCCATGACACCGCTCTGGGGTTGCACTCGCAACGTATTCTTATGAGAGCTGGAACTGCGAGTTACAAGCTTGCCAGATGATTTGCTAGGTGATTTGCTTGGCGACGAACTTTGCTGTAACTGTTCCCATGTAATAAACAATTCACTGTAATTATGGTAACACAATCTAATGAACGTTGGCTAAAACTTTTAGCTCCTACGATGGTGGCTGGGTAATGAAATATCAACATTTACTATTTATTGTGAAACATCATCATCAGCTTCTTAATGTCTCCATTGCTGGGACACTAACCTTCCCTATGGATGGAATAGGGAGATTGTCACCATGCGTGCCTGGTGCGGTGGTGGTATTGGTGGGTGCTAATGACTGCAGATACAGCCGAGACCAACGGTTTAACGTGCCCTTTGAAGCACGGATGAGCTCGAGGTAATAAGTATTTGGTCACTCATCTAATGATTACCTTTTATTTACCATGGCCATAACGAAAGTTTCTTAGCTTTCACGATCGCAAGCCAAAATCGCTAACCACCTGCGCCATCGAGTTACTCCTTATTGTGAATACTATTACATTATTTTATAAATAGTAAGTAAGCTTAGTAACTTACTGTCCCCCCCCCCCCCTATCTGATGTTAAGTATAGTGGGATCCGAAGCGAAGCGGCAATGCCACACAGTGCCACGTTTGCCATCATCACTTTATCGGTCAGCTAGGTGATTTTTTTGCAAAATTTATAAGAAAAGAAAGTAAATAATGACCTCATAAGATCCTAATAAAAGTTCTCAAATATTCCTTAGACAGTTGTCCTAGCGCCGGCGACGAAGCGATTAACTATATATATAAGAAGAAAGAAAATATATCAAAAAAATCAAAAGTATCATATTGGAAACAAATATATAACGATTTTTACACGTTTGTTTAGTCTCTAAAGTATTCAATATATCTCTTATGTTTGTGTGTGGGTGTGAGTAAGTGTGCGCGCGCGTGTGTGTGTGTGTGTTCGATTATTATAAATTTTGATGCAAGTATTCAGTATCATTATAATAGGCTAGTTGACCCTTTTTGGAAAAAGGTTTTAAATGGATAATAAATGTTCTATTAGACCGAAAAAAAATGTATTGTATTTTTTTTAAACCAAGAAAGCTACAAATCTTTAATTTTAAAATAGACTTTTCATGGACATACAAAAACGCTGTCGGCCATTTTAGTCTATAGATTATCTATGCTATGACGTGAACTGTGGTAAACAAAAACTCGTAAACACGTAGAAAATTACTTTTAACTGAGTTTATAATAAAAAATAAACATGATTTCTAATAAATACCACGAAAAATAAAGTAATTATCATTACTGTATTGTACGAGAATATAAAAACACATCCTTGAAGACTCCAGGAAAGTTGTGGATTAAAGTGCCGAAAGAAATTAACCTACGCAACTTTATTACACTTATTCATATGTTGTATCAGTTTTATGTTTATTACTACATTGTAATACTAAATGCACTGTACTTACATAGATGCCTTGTCGTTTCTCTGGTCCGCAGAGCAGAAATCGGGGTTTAGTGCAACAAATTCACCAACCATCAATGCATCAATTCTTGGCAGATTTGTGCTTTCTGCTTTCACAAAGCCAGCATCCATAATTAGTTTTGTCAAAAAAAACTAAGTTTACTGTTTTTTTCTTTCCTAAAGTTAAAAGTGTTTAAGATAAATTTAGTCAGACGAAAGAATCCACCTACAGTAACACGCGAATGACATTTAGTTGTTTATCACAAGAGACGTCAAAATCATGGCGGATGCAAAGACTTTATATAATACCTAGACTGTGCACGAAAAAAATTAGTTAATCTAAAGTAAGATTTATATCTGTAGTAATAGGATAGCTATTATCTTGATAAGCGGTCGCTAGTAAAAACGGTCCTGAGTGAGAAAGCACCCAACGGTAGTGTGTCCCTTTCTAACGTCTTGCCAGCTCAATTTATCATTGGGTTTGGTAGAAATGGTAGAAAATGACATCCTTTTCTATTTGTGATTTACTGATTAATTACCGATACGAACGATTCGTAAACTATGAAACGTATTTAAACATTTCTACAGTTCCTATAAATAATAAAATAATCATTGATATTTTTAAAATAAATCTAAATACAGAATAAAAGTAGTATTTAATTAGTTGAGCCTGGTTATACTGAATGTAATATGGTGATTTGTTTATTTGATGACAATGACAATCATGACACTTGATGACAATTTGATTTGAAATATTGTAAATTTGCTTAATAAAGTGTATTTTTTTAAAATGGTGAACTCGTGTTGTGTAACAGGGTGCTACAATGAATCTTATCCCGGTAGCCCTTTTTCTTTTCACGGGTAAGTAAAACTTACAATCATATTCATTAGGTGAACCATGAATTTTGGAGGTAGATGAGTTTTTTTTTCTGAACATGAGTTGTGTAAATTTAATGAATCAATTATTAAATAATGCAGTCGCGGTTACTTCCTTGTTTCGTAGGTACTTTATAGAGCGTTTTTAGATTCGTATCATCATCATCATCATCATCAGCCTATTAATGTCCCCACTGCTGGGGCACAGGCCTTCCCTATGGATGGAATAGGGAGATTGGGCCATGACCCACCAGGCGGGCCCAGTGCGGATTGGCGGGTGCTAATGACTGCAGATGCAGCCGGGACCAACGGCTTAACGTGCCTTCCGAAGCACGGAGGAACTCGAGATAGATGTTTTTGGTCACCCATCGTTGCTTAACTTCAACCATCGCAGCCGAACGCGCTAACCACCTGTGCCATCGAGCTCCTCGCAAAAATAGTAAAAAAAAAAATTTTTTTTTCTTGTATTGTGTAGATTCCCGAAGAACGAAAAGCAGAAATTGATGTAGGAAAATGCAGTGCCTGGAAAAATTTCTAAGTCGTCAGTTGTTTGCAGTGCGCATTTTAAATATGAAGACTTTGTCCCTGGTTATACAAGAAAACTGCTGAAAGCTGATGCTGTTCCATCAATATTTCCAAAAGTAAGGTTAAATCATGAAGTTAAAGCTTAGAAGCTACGGGAAGGAGATAAGGCTACATTGCGACAAAAACTGCTCAAAACTATATTATTTAGCAATGTATAAAAACCAATTTTAATAAAAATATTGTAAACAAATGATTGACTTTTTTCCATCCAGAATTTGATGAATTTGATTTGGCATTGACCGATTTCTCTACCTCACAATATGTGGGTACCCCTTACCTTAATAAACATGCTTTTAAGAGTACTTTCCCTTCAGGTGGCTGGCATTACAAAATTCAACCCTCTTTATCTAATCTCAGTCCAAGCCAAGCTACGCGTGCTAGTTTAAATACCGAATGAAACAGTTCATAGTACCTATGTATTATTATTTTTAAAACCTACATAACTTCGTTTGGTCTGCGTTAAGAGGTATATGCATAGATGAGGTTTTTCATATTAATTCACACTACATAGTCTAAATTAATAAAAGGTATTGGCATTTATGTTAAATTAATGGTAAGTCTGATGATACATTTTTGTTCCTTAGGTTTTCACGCACATCACTCATTAAATAAAACTAGTTTTTCACGGGTTGATGCACGAAACTTTATTTATTTATTGACGTTTCGCAGCCTTTACAGGCCGCGTCGTCGGAATTTGTCATCATACAAAGACTTAGTGTAATTTTTTATTACACTAAGTCTTTGTATGATGAACTTAGCAAGTTAAAAAATACGCCATGTAGTTTTTATTTTAACTCATAATCACAAATTACTTACATGTTTAGACAGTAGCAGATACTAAACACAATCCTCTTTACAAGCTATATTAAATAACAAATACTAATAACAAATTTTGTCCCGCGTTACGCTTGAATATGGTCACTTCATTAGAAAGGAACACACTACCATTGGAAGCCCTCTCGCCCGGACCGTTTTTAACGCGATGGTGCACAGTCTAGGTATTATATAAAGTCTTTGGGCGGATGTGGCGAACAGCGTTTTTAGTGTTTAAAAAATATAGACTAAAAAATATTTTTTAAAATTAAATTTCTACAGCAATCTTCTGCTTTTATGAAGTGAAATCGATATATTAAGGTTCCTTAGACTAAATACTTTAAAATATAAACATTTATTTAATACAATTAGACATGAGTAAACTAGCCTTTTCTTAGTTCAGATTAGATATACCTAGCTTTTTATTCACTTCGTTGTAAATTTTACAACTCTGTATATCGAATTGCCGCCCAGCAAAGGCTGTGTTATGCTGAGAGATTTTTATGCATTTTCTTCTTCTTTGACTTAGCTTAGGTTCCTATGGTTAAGTATTTATGACGTTTTAAGATTGCAATCAGTATGTAAAGTTGACGCACAGTCCGTAAATTTTATAAAGTGCATTTGTCGAAAATCTGTAAGGCTTAAAATACATTAAGTAAACACGTTGACATCTTTCTACTTCTAGAAACTTATGTAGTCTTTGCAGCACCTCCCCGACATCGAGATGTAATATAACATTATGTTAACACAAATATATACATTCAGTGTAAACAATAGAGATGTATATACATCACATGTCTTGATCACGTTATTCTTAAGTCTCGTAACCCAGCTCTTGCATTAGTCATCCAGTCAACTATAACGAATCATTCTTCGATACTACTTTCTACTGAGCATAGTAATTATCTTCCGCTTTTACCTAAGACTATTAAAAAAATAGACTACGAAGGCCTTTCTATTTCATTTAAAAATTTGGATTTTTCTGCCATATTACTCTCCAATAATCCGGATGTAGCAACCGATTGTTTCATAGAGATTGTTCAATCTACTGTATCATCTCATACTATCTCTGTTACTCTATCACACCGGCGTAGACCCGTTAAGCCATGGATCACTCCCGGCTTATTAAAATGTATATGCAATCGAGATGCAATGCATAAGAGACTGAGAAGCAATCCTAGCAATTCCTTATTACGCATAACATATTATAGATATCGGAACTTCTGCAACGCGCTACTAAGAAAAATAAAACAAAATTACGAGAAAAGCCTACTCCTCAGTGCGGGGTCGAATTCGAAAAAATTATGGGATGCCATTAAAGATGTCGGTCATTTAAACAAGACGGCTACCAGATCCAGTGACCTGCTCCAATGTAAGCCAACCCCTACTGAGTCTACCACCTACGTCAATTCCTTTTTTGCTGGTATTGGTAAGTCACTCGCAGAGAAAATCTTATTTAGTAATTTCCCTCAACAGTATTCATCTAACTCATCTTCATATCCTTCTTTACAATCGTTTGCGTTGGTTGACACTACAATTGAAGAAGTGGAAAACACAATCTTTTCGTTGAGAGACAACTGTCCTACTGGATGGGACAATATTTCTTCATCGTTGTTAAGACGTTACTCTAAAATTCTAGCACCTCCAATAACTCATATATGTAATCTCTCTATGAACCTTGGCATTTTTCCATCTGCTTTTAAAAAAGCTATCGTCCACCCTATTTCTAAGAGCGGGGACCGTGGCCTTGTTAACAATTACCGACCAATTTCTATCCTCTCTGCCTTGTCTAAAGTTCTGGAACGCCTAATTAATATGCGATTGGTAAAATTTCTTGAGGAAAAGGGACTATTATCTTGTAATCAGTTTGGCTTCAGATCTCAAAGATCTGCATCTGATGCTGTGCAAGAACTGACGGATTGTATTGTCAGAGATTTGGACAATCGCAAAAAATGTCTCGCTATCTTTTTAGATCTCGCGAAGGCGTTCGATACGGTCTCGGCCCAAATCCTTTTGAAGAGGTTAGAAAGTATTGGTATACGTGGTAATCAGCTAGCCTTATTCAATAGCTATCTAAGTGGTCGATGTCAGTGTGTTGTTATTGATGGGTACACTGGGCCTTATGCTCCGATAGAGTCTGGCGTTCCGCAAGGGAGTATACTTGGCCCAACACTCTTCCTCGTGTACATTAATGAATTGTGCTCCCTCATTGTTCCCAGCGGCAAAGTTGTCTGCTACGCCGATGATACCGCCCTTTTGTTCTCGGGTGACACGTGGAAGGTGGTTTTTGACTGCGCTCAGTCTGGATTCAACCTTGTCTCAGACTGGCTGCGCTGTAATCTTCTAACCCTCAACATCCAAAAGACTTGTTACCTTACTTTTTCTATTCGTTCTCTTCCGGCAACTGTGATTCCTTATAAAATAATAACCCATTCACATTCATCTGATATTCCTTTTCCGTGTTCTTGTCCTTCACTAACTTGTGTGGAATCCATTAAATATTTAGGTGTCACATTAGACAATAAACTTAACTTTAAAGCTCATCTCAAAATAACCTCTGGCCGAATCCGTAAGCTTATATATGTTTTCAAAAAAATACGTCATGTTGCCGAGCCGCATATAATTAAAATGGTTTATCTAGCACTTTGTCAATCTATACTCATGTATGGCATTACCACCTGGGGTGGAGCCGCCAAATCCAACCTTCTATGCTTAGAGCGTGCTCAAAGAGCTATACTGAAAGTGTGTATGTTGAAGCCAATGCTCTTTCCCACGTTTGAGTTATATCAAATCACGCAAGTGCTCACTGTAAGACAACTGTTTATCCTGTGAACGATTCTAAAAAAGCATAAAGATCGTATACCTGTAACAATAACTACGCGTACAGCACGACGCCCGCCTGTATATGTATCTCCTATACTTAACACCTCTTTCTCTAATCGTTTTTATAGTTTTCTTGGACCATTTCTCTACAACAAACTAAATCGAAAATTGACAATACATTTACTCACCAGATTCTGCTGCAAGAAGAAAATCACCAATTTCCTGCAAAACCTAAACTATTTTGAAACAGAAAGCCTTATGAATTCTTGAATTACGAGCCAGTCCCACACACCCCCTCCACACTAACACACACACATACAGACACACACACCTCACACATGCACATAAACACGCACACACAAACTTCACACATGCACATAAACACCATACTCACAACTAGCACTACCATATTCCATATCATGCAAAATAATATAAATGTAATTTTAGATTTTATCGTTGTTCTCCTTTTTTTTGCTTGAACACTTTCTTAAGAGAGGCTGGTGCACTGAGACACAGGCGTCAGCTTAGTTTGGTCACCAGTCTCTCACAATCTTAGACCTAAGTTTTTTAATCTGTTACTCATGAAGCATGTATAAGATTGTGGAGAGAAATAAAGTTCATTATTTATTATTTATTTATTATTATTAATAGTTGATCGCTGACTGCGTTCACACTGCCGGCGAGAACTCGCCTCACCATGCATCTCTTTCGTTCACACGGAATGTATATCTATTGTACGTTTCTTGAGCGCGAAAATAGCCGATAGTTAATGGCTTCCTCGCCGGCGGTCTGGCAACTGCCTTAGGTTAATCAACATCTTATTTATGGTTTATTTTTAAAAATTAATGAAATATATTTACCGTTGCCGGAGGCTCTGTAGGCACCACGGTTTCAGATTCACTCTCGCTCACCACGTTGACTGTTATTGACGTTACGGCTGCGACAATTTTTTGTATTTTAATCATTAATTCACACAATGGCGATATAAAGTCAAGATGAAATAAAAATAACAAAATAAATAGCACTGACTGAAACATGCGATCCGTGTGTGTCATCAAACTAAAAAATAGGTAAATGCAGAAAGGCCACAGTTGAAAGAAGGGGGGGGGGGGGTCATTATGGGGTCATTCTCACCATCATCAGGATTCTGTGGTGGTATCAAATGTTCCACTGAAGTACCGGCTTTGTAGGGATTCTTGCTTGGGCCCGCCTGTGGCTCGTCGTGTGATGCGGCGCTGTGTACAGACAGATGGGATTACTTATATATAAGAATTAGGTCACATCTCATTAGACCGACCCGGTAGGCAACCAGCACCGCCTCAACTCGTACGGTTGATATTATTTGTATGGATTTTATGGGTATGCGCTCAATACATCAACTCCGTACTGGATCTCCTCGCTTGGACTTGTAGGCGGGTGGACAATATTTATTTATTTCGCTAAGCTAGCATTCTTAGTTTTTATTTTAGAGATTTTTAGGATTCTTTAAGTGACCCGGATTCAATGCTCTCGAGTGTACATATTATTGGTTTATGATGATGTAGACAAAACAGGATCAAATTTTTCTTGGTTTTCACTGTAAATAGGTACGATAATGAGAGTAAAGATAGCCTTTCCATTTACAAGAAACTTTTTTTGATCTAATCTATTTAGAAAGCAGACGCAAAGCAGCAGTTCTTTTAAATGCACATCCTCCACTGCCCTTGTTCTTCGCCCTGCCTAGGCATATTTGGTAAACACTTCAGTACTATGGAGTGATTCTCTATAGGTAAATTATCCAATAGTTTTCATAGAATTTTTTAATAGCACCCAATGATAACTTAGTAACAAAATAGAAAAGCCAGTGGTAAAGTGATCACACGTTTCTATAGCAAGTACCTGAGTACGTAACTACTTAGAGCCAGGAATTTGCAAAAGCTTGTTTTTTTTTGTGTTTGACAAAGCAGTGGGAGGTGACTCCCACTGTGGAGGTGGCGAAACTTTCGTAATGGCCAGTCATTGGATGAGTGACCAAATACTTATTACCTCGAGCTCCTCCGTGCTTCAAAGGGCACGTTAAACCGTTGGTATCGGCTGTAGCTGCAGCCATTAGCATCTACCAATACCACCACCGCACCAGGCACGCGTGGTGGTCCATGGACCAATCTCCCTATTCCATCCATAGGGAAGGTTAGTGTCCCAGCAATGGAGTGGGAGGTGACTCCCACTGCTGTGGCAAACACAAAAAATAACAACCTTTTGCAAATTTCTATTTTACCTTTTTTTTTACTAAATTAGAAAATTAAATTAGTGTCCAAATAATAATTCGTATAGTAAAAGGTTTTATTGTCTAATAATTAATGTATTTTTTATATTCAAATTTTTTTTTATGATGGGATAGTTATAATACCGGATGCCGGACACCACTCTGCGTCACACGTCGCCTTCAATACGTGTTCATTAAGTTTTTACTAACATAAGTGTTCACGACCAACACTACCTATTATAGTCCATGTGTAAATAAGTCATTTTTATATTCTGTCACGTAAATATTCCATAAGTAAAAAAGAAAGTAAATTAGTGTCATTGAGAAACAATTGCCTTTTATTCAACAATTTTGGTGTCAGAAGAAAAAGTCGTAACAAAATTACAAAATGTCGTTTACAAGATCGCAAAAACAGGCCGAAACAGCAGCAGCAGTGCAGGAACCTAATACAGAAGTAGCATCATCCTCAGGTACTATACACAAAAGTGTCCACACTGCTCGCTCTAATAGCAGTACTTTACAAGCTCAAATCGACTGGCAGAAGCAGAGGTGGAGCGTGAACGTGCTTTAGTGGAGCGAGAACGTGCTTCAGCGCAGCGTGAGCGAGAGCGTGTCGTCGCCGATCTGGAACTGCAAGCAGAATTAGCTGCCATAGCAGCTGCCTCTTCACATCGATCCAGTAGATCGAACGGCTCCAACTCTAAACGCGTCGAAAATTGGTTAGCAGATTCTGACAATATTAACGCTCGTCATAATCAACATAATAAGGCTTATTCGTTGACTAACAGGGAAATATTAGAACTATCGTTCAATAATGAAAGACCGCAGGCGCCACAGTCGCCGCGGTCGGCGCCTCCCGCCATAGCGGGTGCAGGCGCCTCTACAAAACTCCCGGTCCCTGTCTGTGCGAACCCTCTGCAAGTAGCGCCAGCTTAACCAATGACACCTCAGACATTCAATTTAGGCACACTTAATAAAGAAACAGATTGTTGTTGCTACATAAATAAAAATACCGAAAACAATATAGGTACACAATTTAATCAGCTAGCCAACGCGATAGCTGGACTGGGAAAGAAGACTACAAGGGTATGTGACATTTCTAAACTTGATGGGCGTGTCGCGGACTGGCTTCTCTTCAAGAAGTCCTATGACCAGTCTAAGGCACACTTCTCTCCCAGTGAAAATGTTGCAAGGCTCAGTTCGGCGTTAAGCGGGGCCGCGAGAGAGGCAGTTGCTGGTCGCCTGATAGGTGCTGATGATCCAAAGGACCAAATTATGCGAGCATTGGAGAATAGGTTCGCACAGCCAGAAGTGATCGTTCTCCATCAACTCTCACTGGTAAGGGCTTTACCAAAGCTAGGCCTGTACGAGTCGTCTCGGGATTTAAATAATTTTGCTTGTCGTGTTCGTAATTGTATCGAAATTATCCGCCTACTAAACGAGCCCGAATATCTAGCGTCGCCGGAATTGTTTAACTCCATAATTGGCAAGTTAACCCCACTCCTTATTAGGTCCAGGTGGGCCGCTGCAGCAAGGGCCGACTCTGGCAAATTCAAGCTAGAAAATATAGCAGATTTTCTTGATAACGAGGCATGTTTACAAACTAAATTTGGACTTATTACGTCAGAGTCGGCATTTGTCAAATGTCAAAATCAGCCTTTCACTTTCAAAGCTACCAAAGACAAGATTAATCTGAACGCAGTGACTTCATACTCGCCTAGCGTACCAAAAAGTTCGGATGTATGCAGATACTGCCAGGCCGGGCTTCACGAAGTTACTGACTGAACAAACTTTCGGTTGCTTAGCTTAGATGATCGTTGGCAGTGGGTGATGGATAACAAGGTGTGCCGCAAATGTTTACGCAAAGGTTCGCATCAGTACAATAACTGCAAAAAGAGATGTGAAGTGGACGGCTGCGTTGCGAATCGTAGACATCATACGCTACTTCATAAACCTAGGTTAGACGCAACACCGTCGTCAACTTCACCTCAATCCGACGAACAAATCGCTGTTGTAGCGCATAGTGCTGCACCGTTCGTCAATAAACAGCAACCCCTGCTAAAAATCGTTCCTGTAACTTTGACCGGTAAAAAAGGCAGCGTCCATACTTTTGCTTTGCTTGACGATGGTAGTTCCGCTACGTTGCTAGATAAATCCGTGGCTGATATGTTGGATGATGAGGGACCTAGAGAACCTTTACGAATTCATTGCGTTGAGGGCCTGACTAAGTTGTCAAACGTCAGTTACATTAACATTAAGGTGAAAGGCCGCTACAGCTCCGAAAGCTTTAATATTCGTGCACGCTCTATTCCGGACCTAGACTTAAGGCCACAATCTGTTGTTAGTGACGTGCAAAGATTCCGTCACCTTTTCGACCTAACTGACGTACTGACGTATAACAACGCTAAGGCAACTTGTCTTATCGGTACCGACAACTGGCATTTGCTGTTGCCTCAAACCGTACGTCTTGGAACCAAAGCTGAGCCAGCTGCAGTGCTCACTCCCCTGGGTTGGGCTCTTTTCGGTTTTATTAGCGCAAAAACCAGTCCAATAGAATATGTCAACCATGTCGAAGTTGATGAGTTTGATCATAGATTGGATGCTTTAATCAAACATTATTACAAATTGGACTCTATCGGCATCGAGAAAAAACTTCATCGTAGTCCTAGCGACAAACGCGCTTTAGATATATTGGAGGAAACTACGGTACGTTTACCTTCTGGTCATTTTCAAACTGGACTTTTATGGCGAAACGATATCAAAATTGTCCCAGAAAGTAAAACTCTCGCGTTGTCTAGGTTTTCAAGTCTTGAACGTAAGATGGCTAGTAAAGTAAGAAGAGATAAAACTTACGCCAATTCTTATAAACAAAATATCCAAAATACGATTGACAAGGGGTATGCGGAGCTTTGCTCTGACCCTCCTTCAAGTAACATCTCGTGGTACCTTCCGCATTTTGGGGTAGTACACCCACAAAAGAAAAAGTTACGAGTGGTACATGACGCGGCTGCAAAGTGCAATGGGGTGAGCCTCAACTCTATGCTCTTATCGGGTCCGGATTTGCTGCAGCCTTTGCTAGCCATAGTAATGCGGTTCCGGGAAGGTAAATTTGCTCTTACGGCCGATATAAGGGAAATGTTTCCCCAAGTTAAGATTCGACCTCAGGATCGCGACGCCTCAAAGACAAAATCAAGGACAATCCTCAAAATCCACTTCAGGAGTATGAAATGTCTTCCATGATTTTTGGGACGACGTCTAGTCCATGTACAGCTCTTTATCTAAAATATAAAAATGCATTAGATTTCCAATGCGCATATCTAGAAGCAGCCAGATCCATTATAGAAGACCATTACATGGACGACTACCTGGGGAGCGTTGATGAGGTGGATGTCGCAGCACGTTTAGCCTCAGACTTAGTGACTGTTCATAAGGCAGCAGGTTTTGAAATGCGCTCGTGGGTATCGTATCATCCTGACGCCCTGTCCCTAATACATTCCGATCTCCGCGCCATCAACGCTTCTGAGGTAGGGTTAGGTCCGTCGTCCCCTTCACAAATACGTGTTCTGGGGTTGACTTGGTTTGTCAGTAATGATTCTTTATGCTTTCTCAAGTACATTCCCAGTTTACTGGTGAACTATAGTAACGTTCCGCCTTATCTCTGCTTATGTCGGTCTATGACCATTTGGGTCTAGTTACCCCTGTAGTGATAAAGGGCAGAATTATTTTGATATTCGTACCACGGACGAAAATAAAACTGTTTCCGAATTGGTCGGATGTTTAGTTAGTTAGTACATTTACTTAACCTTCTGCTACTTCACCTATAGTCGCGGATTACCACCGATTCAGTAAATGGACCCGCCTGCTCAGAGCCACAGCTCGAGCACACCAAAGATTTTTAGATCGCTTACCTCAAAATTCCAAATCTTTCGATACCTCTCTGCGTTGTCATAAACATTTTCCTCTCGTTTCTATAAATGAATTAAATTCAGC